AAAGCTCAGTTCTGTATGTAATGCATATGTTTGTCGTTGGTCTTGGATGGATTTAAGTGTTAGACAATTATCGTGCGCATTTATCTAAATTTATGAGTTAAAAAATTACTATTGAAAGTGTTGGGAAATAATTTTCATTTTTCAAATTATAGTAATAATTGTCGGCATGTTCATTAAACACAAGTTTTAAAAAAAATATCATCTTTTACAAAAATTCTAATTATGTCTTTATTTAGTTCTATAGCACTTACTTCCCTTTGATAAATTAGGAAAACACAATTACTTCCCTTTATAAAACCATTGCATTTTGTGGAAAATAATTTACTTTTTAATTACTTTGTTTTGGTGTTGGGAAAAAAAATAATTACATAATTAGCGGGGATTGATCAAGTGCAAATGTTGTAGGTATTTTACGGATAAGCTTGGAGTATTATAATTGTTCATCAAATTGAAACAGGCGCGTTCGTTTAAGTGAGTGCATAAGACTATGAATAAGTTGGGGTACTATAGTCGTTCATTAAGCTAAAACAGGTGATTCCGCCCCGGGCGTTTATGTTCGCGTTAGTGTTTTCTTTGTGTTTAGGTGGGTTTGCGTTAGTGGTTGCGTTTTGATTTGGTTCGTTTTTGTTCTTTCTTTTTTCGTTTTTGTTTGTGTTTTTTTGTTTGGGTTTGTATGTGTGTTTTTGGTCGGTTTTGCGTTTGGATTTGGTTTGTTTTCGTTTGCTTTTTCGTTGTTTTTTTTTTGTTGGTGTTGGTGTTTGTGGTTGTGGTTGGGTTTGTTGTTAGGTTTTTGTTTTCGTTTGTATTTGTAATTGTGTTAGCGTTATGTTTGCGTTTTGTTGTTTTGGTTGGTTGTGGTTTGGGTGGGCAATGCCGGGTTTATGATGATTACTAAACACACAGGTGATGGTCTTTAACAGAAAGGTTTTTCACAGAAGCCAGAGCAGGGCCTGGCCGGGACGGCTAGTGTTTGATATAATAAGAAGAATATCACAAGAAGGCTTGATCTTAGAAGAAAATAATTTAATTGAATATTTGTCTTTAACTACAAAATAATACATCCGCCTACAATTGTCCATTTCATTATTACTCTTCAATTCAAGTTGCTATGCTTTGCTTCAGCCATTTATAGCCATGTCTAAGTATAATTTTTTATGTTGTTTTCCATTATATCACACAATCAATTTACGTTTGCAGTTTATTTTCTTAAACTAAACGACAGAGTAAAATATTAATTGAAGCAAATGTTTAGTCCTGAAAAAAAATGAATTTCGCTTGTTTACTTGGCATGTTAAGAATTTATTTTTTTCTGGTTGTGCTAAAAGCTATTCTATATTCATCTGCAACCTTAGATGTTATCATGTTTCTCACCTGATGGATACTGACACATGTAAGCTAAACGTTTGGCAACAGCTTTGTCAAACTAAGTTACACTGCAACAGTACCAGCCAGCGTCTTGGGCTTGTAGGCCATCGATTAACAAAACAAAATGCAATCATGTTTCTGCTAATATAATTATAACGACCCAGAGTGCGTGTATTTCTTACGAGAGTAAGGCAAGCGAGACGATCATTCACCTACTACGTTCATGTTTACAATGTCGACCGGTTCTTACATTCAGAAGTTGGGCGTGGGATTATAATCACAATTTAAAGTATTGTATTTTGTTTCGGAATGGAGGTGAGACAGAAGACGTGTCAGTTCAGCTGAAATTATAGGTGTTCATCAAAGAAAAAAGTGTTAATTAGCAGCTGCATCCAAGCATCGAATTCTAAATTGGTTTGCTGTTTTCCAACGTGGTGTCAACCTGACTCATTTCGTTTGACAGTGTATTTTTTTCTGATCAGTATAAATTGTTATCCCAATTTTTATTGCAATACTTGTCACCCCCTCCCCGTCTCGTCCGACTTATAATGTCTAATATCAATAATATCATTAATTGCTCACCCCCTCGCACTAACCATTTATTGAAAATCACACCAAAACTTTTTTTATTTCTCTGTAATTGTGCTAAGTTTTCAGTTGGCGCCGATGCGCCCCTCACATTACCAGTGCAATAGCTTTAACCTGCTCATTATTAATAGTAAAATTAAGTTTATCTGTAGTCGTTTATTGAATGTAACATTGCTTTTGTCTAATTCTAGCAAATTTAGGTCATAGTGTCACTCACCCTTTTGTCGAAAGAGTGAATTTGTATTTAAAATATTATTTTAACTTTTATTAATGTGTACTTGAAGTAATAAACGTATTTGTCTGTGTTTTGTAATCTATTGCATTTGGCTTATTAGTATTTTGTAAACTGATTAGTTGGTACACAGTTTAATGTTAATTGTAAAGATAAATTTAGTAAATAAATTTTCTAAGTAAAATCCTCTCAACAAAAGAACTTAGGAAGTAGTTGGTAATAGGAGCATTATTATCTTCTTTGAATAAAACTAAATACATTAAAAAATCTCTGAAAACAAAAAAAAAGGTAGATGAATTTCTTGACAATTGACTACAGAGCCTTATTCAGTGACTCTAGTTGCAATATGATGCCATATGGCAACAAATCATTTTTGATCCAAATAAGTATGTAAATCATATTACATGATACATAGAATACAATATACTCAATTTAGAATAGTTTTGGAATATAAATATAGTTTTTTAATAGTGAAGTAAGAAGTACTGTAAGAAAAAAAATATTTAAAAAATAATATCATCCATGGTGATCAGCTGGTCAACATTCTCACAAAAGTAACATCGGAAATAGAACAAAAATGTCCTCTACTAAAAAGAGTTCACATTTATTTAGTTAGGAAGACTATAATAAAGGGATGCGACACTATAATTAATGTGTATCTGTAAAATTAAAGATGTATGTGTGTTCACAATATGGCAAAAGTATGCAATATAGGGTTAAACATTGTTATTTTCTTTATGGTAGTTAAGAACGGTTTATAAGCAGGTTTCATGTTATACGTTCATTAAATACTATAAACCACGATGAACAATAATTATATCGACACGATACGTCGACTACTACTTTTGTCTATGAGTATTTAACTTAAAGTATATGTACATCAGCGTAGTAAAACACAGCAAGACCTCAACTTCTCTCATTTATGTCGCCAGCAGCTAAACATATAAGATTCCGCGTAACAAGTATTAGCACACCGATCTAAATAAAGACATTTGAAGCAAAATGTTTGTAATAGGCTTGGAAAGGAGGATTCAAATGGTTCTAAATGGTGGTTGCTAGAAAGCATATTTTCCAACCAAAATTTAATATTTTATAATTTTTGAGAAATACGATTTTTTTTTTAATTTTATAAGATTACATAGTATTTTCAAACCTATTACAATCATGGAAATAAAATAAAGTCGGGACGATTAATCATTCTAATAAAACGAATCAAAACTTGATTTATTAACGTTTTCAAATTGTTATGCTTCTAAATTATGTTTAATAATTTTCCACGATCTTGTAAAAAATTTAGAGCATTTTCGGTTTTCCTATAACACAAGATAAAATCTCCAGATATTTTTTTCCGTTTATGCCACAAAGTTTTTCGATTTCCGCTTTTGTAAGACGTGTTACAAAAACTGCTAATTGTAAAATCTTCATCTAATTTTATTATTATAAGCTTTTACTTTCTTGCTTTTTATGTTTATTAGGTTAGGATAAGTTTGCCTGTAGTTGTTGATAATCTCGTAATTTTATTTATATTTTTCTCATTTGACAATGCGACAAAACATAGTGTTTATTCTGATTAGAAATTAAATTTAATAATAACGTAATTCGATAATAAAAGGAGCTATACAAATAGCAATTAATAGCGATCATTCTATCAGCTAACCAAAGAAGGTAAACTCATTTGTTTAAGAATGATAGATTATTTTGCCTGAGTGGGGACAGTGGACCAGTTCTTTAATGTCGTATTTATCCTACCTTATAAAAATAAAATATGTTTCATTAAATGTATCAAGAGTATAGAAGACAAACGCAGTATTTAAAAAAAAAAACATAATCCCGAGAAAATAAGTTTATAAATCACATTCCAATATTAAAACAGTGCAAAATATAATGGTTAAACATACATTTAATATTTGCATTCTACTTTTCTGACATTGTACTTTAGTGTTATTATAGCTTTTATTTTTTACAGTATCAGTATAAATGTCCATCGATTTGACCTAAAAAGTGGACATACTGCATTTGTCCTCTATACCCTCGTTATGCACTCTTACAGACCATGAATTTAAAGCCTGGGGTAGTTTTTAACTTTGGATGTATTTATGACGCTTATTAGAATATGTCGCTAATACGATACAAAGAAAATACTGGAAAAAATAGTTAATACAAATTAAAGATATGGCATAGAAGGATAATTAGCCTTACTTAAAAAATTCTTAAAAAATGTATTCATGTCGTTATTCAGGTAGAGAGTAACAGAGCACTACCGTCCCTTCTCATCGTATAACTCTTACAAAAAAAACCAATGTAATCTTTTTAGGCTGTACAATCACACCGAGTATGCAAACTTAAGGGTGCGGCCTGGTGTAAAGTGCTAGATTGTTAACCCGAAAGTCTCTATGTTCTAGTCCGGTTTCAAGTCAGCAGAATGTTCCTGAATTCACCAAAAAAATAAAGGCGGCTCGAAATAGTGCTGACAACATTATCCCTTCATATGCCAAGAAAAAATGTGGATTGTGCTGCGCTTTCCTCATGTGTTATGGGCACAAACATGTTGATGATAGCGAATATTATTTAAAAGGAGAAACGTATAGTATGCATTAAAACATATTAAGAAATACAAAACAACACGTAAAATAATTAGACCGGCACAACAAGTTGAGCACTATTTTGACTGTGTTTCTAATATAACTGGACAAAAGCGTAGTACAACCACAGCAAGACATTCACTTCTTACATCTTAAATAATGATAGTAAATAAAGTTAATTAAAACTTGATATATTTGCATTTACAAATTTTAATGCTTTAATCCAAATTTTTTAAAGACGTTATTTACGGTAGCGTTGATTGTTTTCAGCTAATTTTACATGATCTTGCGTCCAGTGAAATTCAAAGCTTTGATGGTTAGGGCTTTGATGGATTCCTTATAATACACTATGAGATATCGCTAGTAGATAAGACTTCCAGGTGTTTAGTGGTATTTAAGCAAGAAACAAGAAAATTATTCACCTAAAATTTGAAAAAGGAATTATAAATAATACATAATTTAAACGTGTATTTTGAGTTAAAAGAGTAAAGGTAAAAGAAGCATTAAACACAATGATTTACTGCCTTAAACCTACATTGGTTAAAATATATAACATACGCCGCTAGGTAGTGTGTCTGTCTTTCGGTTTGCCATCGGTATGACCGTTTTGCATATTCTTTCTTATCCTTATTTTATTTATTTTAAATAATACATATATATATATATATATATATATATATATATATATATATATATATATATATATATATATATATATATATATATATTTATATATTTATATATTTATATATTTATATATTTATATATATATATAATGAAGTTTTGAAATAGTTAAGTATATTTATCTCATTATTATCTAGATCTAGGTAGAATTTTCAAGATTCTACGAGTGTTTTTATTAAGTCTAGTTTTTGCCGTAACTCTTGCTAGATCTAAATCTAGAACCGAGATAGAAAAATCACTTGTATTCTTGAGTTAGATGATCCATGAAGCTAAAAAGGAAATATTTATATTTCAAATATTTAAGGACTAAAATATTTTAATATTGAAACTCAATAAATTATTCTGATTTTAAAATAATTTGGTTCGACCTAGATTCTAGATCTAGAAATAACTTTCTTGGACAGCTGATCTTTAGATCTATAAATAACTTTCTTGGACAGCTGATCTTTAGATCTATAAATAACTTTCTTGGACAGCTGATCTTTAGACTGTAGAGCTAGAGAAATTTATTGTAAAACTAAATGAAAAAGACAGTTGAAAATTGATATAAGTATTACAACGTAATAAAAATTGCAAACTGACATATTATTAAAATTATAGCCAACAGAAAATTAGCTTTATAACATGTTAAAGATCTGAATGGGCAACTCAATCTTCGATGGTAACGCCATTTTTGTTTTAAAAAGTAAATAAATTATGTGACGTCTCTATTCACTCTAAGTAAAGTCATTGTTTTAAACATTATGGATTAATCTGGATAATCTACAAATGAATAAATCAATAAATTAGTTAACGTCTTTAAAAAAATGTGTTATTAGCAATCATTCTGAAAACAAAAATTGCTTTCTACCTACATGCTATTTTACATATATATATATATATATATATATATATATATATATATATATATATATATATATATATATATATATATATATATATATATATATGTATATATATATGTATATATATATATATATTTATACACACATATATATATATATATATATATATATATATATATATATATATATATATATATATATATATATATAGATATATATATATATATATATATATATATATATATATATATATATATATATATATATATATATATGTCGAGAGTATAGTTTATTTAGTCTTAGTGTCGTAACCTTTTTTTTGTCCTTTGCTCATTTGTTGAGCGACGCACTGAATAAAACATAATATTCAATACATCAATGACAGCTCATATTCTAAAATATGCAATTACAGTTGTGTAAAGTAAAATAGTGCCCTACTCTTCAAAAAGTGTTGATTATAAAAAAAATTATATATTACCCCTACAAATGTGTAGCTGAATCCAGGAAAAAATCAGCAACCCGAAGATTAGATTCTCGGTAACTCTTTTGATTGAGCTCCCGTTTCTGGAGAGTTTTACGGCTTGAATTCGTGAAGCTATAAACACGGAAATACATTTAGCTCCCATGAAGAAGATTCATTAATGATTTTAATGAAATAGGAAGAATATCACAAGAAAATGTGATCTTAGAAGAAAACAACTTAATGTAATATTTGTGTTTAACTACAAAATAATACATAAACGTGCTATAGTAAATAATATACAACTAGCCGTAAACAGCTAGAATTTGCTTCAGCCATTTATAGCCATATCTAAATATAATTTTTTATGTTCTTCTCCATTATATCACACAATACATTTCGTTTTGCATTTTATTTTCTTAAACCGAACTACAGACTAAAATATAAATGGAAGCAAATGTTTAATCCTGAAAAATAATTCTCGTTTGTTTACTTGGCATGTAATGAATTCTGTATTTTTCTGCTTGTTCTAAAAGCTATTCATCTGCACTTTTAGATAAAATCATACATAATAAGGTAGTGTTGCATTATAATATTTCGATTAATGTAAAATCACGTACGTTAAAAGTAGCTTATATTAAGCCGTTTGTTTCTTTAACATTGGTCTAATAATAATACGGAATAACATATTGGATGGACGGCTTCTCACCTGATAAATAATGACACCTGTATGCTAAACGATTGACATCATCTTTGTCAAAGTAATTTACACTGCAACAGAACCAGCCAGCGTCTTGATATTCTAGGCCATTGATTGCTATAGCAAGCGTTGTTTCATCTTTGACCAATCTCTTGTTGGGCTTCAAGACTTGATAAAATGGGAGCATGCGCCAGTGATCTTTTCCAGCATGGTTGATTATATTTACGTATGGGTACTGTGCTCAGAAAATTTATTGGATTTAAATTAACTAAAATGTTTAAAATATGAAAAAATAAGTTTTTATATATATATATATATATATATATATATATATATATATATATATATATATATATATATATATATATATATATATATATATATATATATATATATATATATATATATATACATATATGTATATATCTTTTTTTTATTTATATACATGTAAATATATATATATATATATATATATATATATATATATATATATATATATATATATATATATATATATATATATATATATATATATATATATATATATATATACATATACATATATATATATATATATATATAATATAGAGAGAGAGAGAGAGAGAGAGAGAGAGAGAGAGAGTGAGAGAGAGAGCGAAAGTCTTGTAATCGTGCAAAAAAATTTTTTCTAATATTCTTATTAGATATTGAAGTATTTACTACAGTCAGAAGCATCTGTTTTGTTGTATTCAAGTAAATTAATCAACTTGATAATTGATATCACATAATTTTCGACATTGTCTAATCAATATCGAATACAGATCGTCTGTAACAGGTTGTTGTTACATCTATCAATGTGTATTTTATTTGAATTTAGCTGATCAAGTTGGATTTAGCTGAAGAAGTATAAGTGTTTTTTTTCTGTAATGGATTAGCAGATCAAGTTTACTATTGTAACTGTTCCTAAATGCTAAACTGTCTTGTCTAAATCTGGACAAAATTCTACTGTTAAAGGCTACTGGAACTATTTTGACATTTTTTTCAAATATTTGGTACTCATTAACAAAGTGAACGTTACTATTTTGTGGTCATATATATATACTATGAACTTCTCATAGATTACCAGATGACAAATATCAACTGTCAAACTACAAACCAAGAAAGGGTAGAGTTACATTAATTATTGTAAACCAATAATTCTATTTTTTTACATTTTATGTAACAAGTATTCAGTGATTGTGATTGATTATTTCAGGAATGCTAACATTATAAAAATGTCAGGTTTTGCAACATGTATGCAGCCGGCTGAGAAACTAGGAATGAGTTTAGATGGAGAAAGATCGGCCTACATGAAGGAAGTATGGGAATATAATATGGGATAGAAATCAGACCGGTATGAAAGTACCTTACTGCCTTTATTAAAAACACTGCAAAAAGAAGAAGAAATGTCAGAAGTAGATAAAGCAGAGGAGCCTGCACAACCAAGAGGAAAGTGGAAAAAAAGAAACAGAAAACAGAGAGCAGATAAAAGGGCTGAAACTATGGAAAAAACATGTAGGCCCACATGAACTAGTATATGAACAATTACAAATGAAAGCTATAACATACACAAATGAACCAACATTAGAAAGTGAACAGGCAGAACTTAAAGCTGAACTTGAAGAAGAAAATATTGACAGCCTTAAGAATGAAGAACAGAGTAACATAATCCACGAAGAATTGAAATCCAAGGATAAAACAGAGGGTGAACTTAATAATGATTTCAAAGTGACAGATGCATTAGAATGTCTTAAGATTGACTCTTTATTGACTCAAACTATTACTCTACTTTTGAGATGTACAAAACAAAAGTTGTGTTGTCTGGCACATGATCCTCCAGTATTGTACTTTGTAAATTTTATTGCACAAAATTTTATTTGAAGGGGGACATTTCACAGACTGTATTATTGGGTATGTTTATTATTTTGTGTTTTACATGAAGTTGCATGAATATAGAGTACCTGGCTAACGAAAAAGACTGTCTGAACGACTCGTCATGTGAGATCGCTCATGGACGTAAGGGGAGAGAATGGACCGTATAAAAGGGGACGCAACGTGAGCGAAAGAAAGCCTGCCTGTGAAATGTGCAGTAAGATGTAAGATCTCACTACGACAGTTTGTTCTAGTTCTAGACTAAAATGTAATTGTCATTTTTCTACTGTGGAATATTATTATTATTTATTTTGGATCATGTAAATACATTTCGTAGTTACAAAGCACTGTTGATCGTATTCTTGGATGAACGAACCAACAATAACAACAGTATCATCCTATCTAAAATATTCCGGTTGTTACAAAAAGCTTATGACTTGAGTACTATTTCAGATAGATGATTGAATTTTCAAATGTACGTAAAAGATCAATTTCTCCCCATTTTGTCAAATTTTGATTTATTGCGATTGACCGTAAGTAGTAATTTACTCTATTTCCGATTTCTCAAAAAACACTTGTAAATTTATTGTTTTTAGAATTAACAGTAAACAGGGTTTGAGGAAGTCAGAGATCTAACACATATCTTTTTGTTAT